TACGGCCGTGGGTAGGTGGCGGGTCCCCTACCCCCCACTGACTCTTTTCACACACTTTACGCCCCGGGAACCGTTGTGGAACCCGAAACCATGCTTAGACACTTTACAACGCAATTAACGACAACACGTAGACAATTAACGAATCAAATACAAGAAACGAACGGCACATAACCTATCATGCTTTTTTTTAAATATAATCAACACCCAAACATGCGATTTCCCCACCCGATAATCCAAGAATAAGATCATACGATACAACCTAGGGTTCTAATCACTTTTATATAAACAAGTATACGGTTCGTCTTCTAATTGCAAGATTCGGTAAGAATAACACATAAACATCAAGAGCATCACACAATTATCAAGAACAACGCATAATCTTCAAGAACTCTATATAATCATCAAGAATTCCATAATCATCAAGAATCTTCCAATATCAAGATCATCAGGATCCCTCATGGGATCATCACATCAAACATCAATAATAATCATCATATCTCGCCAATACACAATAATATGGGGGAAACCCTAAGGGGGAATCATAGCTATGAAAATAGGTTTTGTTGAGACATGGGTTACCTCTTAGCCTTAATTAATTCCTTGGCTATGAAGGATCTTTCTTTAAGCTTCCTTGCTTTCTTGATTTCTCCTAGGGGGATTCTTGGAGCTCTTTTGGGGTGGTGGGGCGTTATTTTTGTGGGAAGTTCTAGGTGCCTCCTAAGTCCCCTATTTATATATTTAGGAGTCCTAATTAGGAACTAATATTATAGGCTCGCTAATTCTATTCCTTTTGGAACTAAGGATTGGGTTTAGGGGTTGGGTTTATATATGAGGGCCCATGGACTATGGTGGGCCTTTTTCCCTAATTAATCATTATGATTTATTCTTTCTCTTGGGCTATTGATTAATTAATTAAATGGTTTTAGGGGCCGTAAGACGGGGTGTTACACCTTTACTGCCTGAAAGTGTTTGTCTGTGAGTCTAAGAAACATGGCACATCATCCTTGAGAAATCATATGGTAGCATGCCTTAAAAATCCTCATGCAAAGGATACTAGGCAGTCCCTTCTCACTTTCAATACTGTTTCAACTTCTGCTACAGAGGCTCCTGTTGGAGTTTTGGGGACATGGGTCTTTAATCAAGAGGCTATTAGAAGGGAATTGTGTGAGATGATCATAATAGATGAACTCCCTTTTAGGTTTGTTGAGGGTCAGGGGTTCAAGAAGTTTATTCTTGTAGCTTGTCCTAGGTTTCAGATTCCTTCTAGGTGGACTATTTCTAGGGATATCTACCAAATTTTCCTAGATGAGAGGTTGAGTCTTAAGAAGTTGTTTAGGGTGGGCACCCAAAGGGTCAGTTTAACCACTGATACTTGGACTTCTGTCCAAAGGATTAATTATATGTGCATTACTGCACATTTTACTGATGACCAGTGGAGGCTTCAAAAAAAAATAATTTCCTTTGTCCCTATTTCTTCTCATAGGGGAGAGTATATTGCCAAAGCCTTAGAGAGTTGTCTGTTGGAGTGGGGGGTTAAAAATGTGTTCACTGTGACAGTGGACAATGTTTCTTCTAACGATACAGCTATGGGATTTTTTAAAAGCAAGTTGTTGCCTTGGGGTTCTTCTTCTGTTAGGGTGCAGTATATGCACATGAGGTGTATAGCCCATATCATAAACTTAGTGGTTCAAGATGGCTTGAGGTTTGCAGATGAGTCAGTTAAAAGGGTGAGGGATGCAGTGAGATGGGTTAGGAACTCACCTGCTAGGTTGAATAAGTTCAGAGAACTTGCTGAACTCATTGGGGTGGAAGCCAAATCAGCTTTACAGCTTGATGCCCCTACAAGGTGGAACAACACCTACATTATGCTCAACACTGCAATTCAATATCAAAGTGTCTTTGACTCATATCATCAAAATGATCCTTCTTTTTTTGCTGACTTGGGTTCTGCACCTTCTTTCCTTGATTGGGAGACTGTTGAAAGCTTAATGAAGCTTTTGAAAAATTTTTATGAAATGACAGTGAGAACATCTGGTTCTCTTTATGTCACTTCTAACACATCCTTCTCTGAGATCTCTGATCTAAGTTGCATGCTGGAAGATATGACTAAAGCTGAGAGAACTGAAAAGGTAAAAAACTTGTGCAATTTATTTGTGTAATTCTATATATCTTGTAAGTTGTTTAATTGTTTATGTTTTTAAATGCTTATGCTTTCTGAGTTTCTGTGTAACTGTATTTATTAGGCAATGGGGACAAAAATGAAAGAGAAGTTTGATAAGTACTGGGGAGATCCAGAAAAAATGAACCATATCATTTTCTTTGCCAATATTCTGGACCCCAGAGATAAGGAGGAGTACATGCCTCACCAGTTTGTCCAGTTGTATGGAGATGTCAAAGGCAAAGAATGTTTTGCCAAGGTCTAAAATTCAATGGTTGCATTGTATAATGACTATGCAGCTACATACTCTGACAGTTCATCCTCTAACCAACCTGTCCAGTCTCAGCCTACTACTTGTACAGTTGGTAGGCCTGTCTCAAGGATGAAGAGTGAACTTTAAAAAAAAAAAGAGATTGGAGAGTGGTGGTGGAAGCAGTAAGCAGACAGAGCTACAAATTTACTTGAGAGAAAATCTGGTAGAGGATGATGAATCTGTGAGTTTTGATGTTCTAAAGTGGTTGAAGAATCATATTGAGAGATTTCCTATTCTCTCCAAAATAGCTAGAGATGTACTTGCTTTTCCTATTTCCACAGTTGTATCTGGGAGTGCATTTAGTACAAGTGGAAGGGTGCTTGATGCATTTAGGAGTTCCTTGACTCCTAAAATTGTGGAAGCCCTACTGTGTACCCAAGATTGGTTGAGGTTACATAATCAGCCAATCACACTTGAGGAAAATTTAGATGAGGTTGAAAGATTGGAGAAAGGTAAAAATATCCATTAAAAAATAGTTTCTTTTTTACTTTTGTAACTTGATAGTCTAGAACTAATTACTTATTTACTTAACTGTTTTGCAGAGTTACCCACTGGAGCTGCAACTACTGTACCATCAATGCTGCCATCCATTCCTGTAATGTTTTCAATAATTATTATTTGTTTAAATAATTATTTATCTTTACTGGTGTTGTACTGTTGTTTGCTGTTGGCCATCACAAGATGAAACTCTAAGAGTCTTAACAGTCTTAGTGGCTTGGCAACTTTCTATAATTATATTATAGAAATGTTGCCCCACTTAGAGTTGAGCAGTATTCAGTATTCAGTAATCAGTACTGGTATCCCTTACTCCCATTACATCCATTCTGAATCTCTGGTATTCCTCTCACCCTCTGCATTATTATTTATTACTTATTTTTTTTGGCAATGATGATGCTTCCACCACTGTCTGAAAAAATGGTATAGTGTTGCTATGTTGCTCATGTGTTATTATAACACATTTGAGCAATTTGCCACTATCCTTACTTGAAATGGAAAATTGTAATCTGAGCCTACTATTGTTACTTAGTTATCTGTTTAGTGTTTACTACATATGTTGTCTAATAATCTAATACTGTGTTAAGTTTTCATATTAACAGGAAGAAGTGTAGAAATGGTGATTGATGTAAGCTGATTTGCTGAAAAGGCCTTGATTTGAATGATTGCTGAAAAGGCATTGATTCGAATTTTTGATGTTTTGGAAGTTATAACTTAAACTTAGATTAAGTTTGTATTTTTGGTTTACTGTTTGCAATTTTGTTTGTAAACTTAAATTATTTAGCTCTGCAAAGTGCAAACTTTCCATTAAAAAGTTGTTGCATGTAATATTTTGTTTACTTATTAGTTATTACTGATTTTGGTAATAGAGACTTGGTAGATTAGATAATATTATGTTGTTTCAGTTTTAAATTTTCTATTATTAATGACCTTTTCCAAATCCGACTTCAGTCCGACATTCGATCCGTATAATCCGAAATCTGACATTGCATATCCGATAGGGTTTTAGTTACAAAAAAAAACGGATAGGAGTTCAAATTCGCAATCCGCAATCCGATCGGATGGTCGGAATATCAATCTGATCCGTCCAATGCTCAGGCCTATTCCTTCATCATGCTGTCTAAGTCTCTCTTCAGGTTTTGTTCAAGGTATTTTCCTACTCATTTGCTGATTTCTTCTTACTTTCTTAGAGTTGTTGTTGTTCGTCTTTTGGGTTTTCACATGGCCGAATGATGGGTTTGGTGTGGTGGGTAGGGTTGGTTTCCGGTCGGCACATGATGTGTGTATGTTCATCGTTTTTGGGCTGTGGTGCCGGCAGTGGTAGTCGGTGCTCCGTTGATTGAGAACCACTGTAGGGTTTTCGAGTTGGAGGGGGAGTAGGGGATAGGTGTATGCTACATTGGAGTGTCTTACTTTTACATATTCTTTTCAATTCCGAGTTTGTTGTGCGAGTATGAATTGGAACACATTTTTAAGGGTCAAATTGTGGGGAAATTCGGTGGTATTCTAGTTGTTTTAAACTGTTTGTTGGTGGTATCTGGACTGGATGGTAATGGCGAATATTGAACCTCCGCGTGCTACTCATTCAGCATTCCTGAAGGCTTTGTTCCAGATAAATCAAATGAGAAAGCATACAAATATGTAATCGATTTGAGTGCCAAGTTTAATACCTCAAGCAATATGCTTTACAACTTGCTTGCAGAACTTCATCTGAAAAACGGATATCCTATGACTGCCAGGAACATTGTTAAAGAAATGTGAAGCAACTAGCAATGAGTGACAGGGAAAGTTTAGCTACTGCTCTCTTCTTTTTTCTTTTTTTTCTTAATTATTATCATATAGTATTTCTTAAGAACTTTTATTGCAGAGTTGATTCTTGACCATTATCTATTAGTGCATAGATTTGTGTGTCCTTTAGATTGTATAATTAGTTCAATTTCACATTTGCTATAAACCACTAATCAAATCTAGATCTCCTAGGTAGGCAAACCATCTTTTGTTCTGTGTGTGATGACTTTAGTTCAGAAATAAGGAAATCATGTTTATTAGTTCCATCATTTTCATTCCTCACTTCAATGTAGCATGTGTTCTGAAAGGAAACAAAGGCACCTTGATCTTGAAGTCTTTTTGCATGTGATGCTATCCTTGATTTGATATTTCTTATTATGTCATAGTTTAATTTTATATTCTGTTCTTAGATGTGTGCATGTGGGTTATGTGGTTGGTGCATTGGTGAATTTGGTGTGTGCATATGATTTTTCTTTTGAATAATATAGATTCGTGATGTCTCATACGAGTCTCACCCATACAATAGATAGTTTTTAGAGAATCAAAAAAATCATTTTCTTTCTTAAAAAACCAGGTAGTAACATGCACTACTCGCATTTAAATATAAAATATCAAATTGGGATTTAAAAACTAAAGAAGCAAAGAACATGTATAAAGATGCATGAGAAGACGAAGAGGAAAGATGATCGGAAGCAAGCCCATTATGGTCATTCTTAATATGATGCCCTGAAACTCTGCAATCCTTTCTCAATGCATCCCTCCACCTTTCAACCTTTGCCTTGTCATTCTTGTAGCATTTTTCATGTTCTGCAAATGATTCAGCAAAACTTCCTGTTTGAACTTGGTGTGTGAGTAGGTTTTATATGGCGTGTGCATTTTGTGAACTTGGTGTGTTCATAGATGTGCTACGACGTGTGCATTTATTTTACGCTTTGCTTGTGTTAGTACTATATTATGTATATATGTATATATTCTATACTTGTGCATTACATACTTAATATATATATATATATATATATATATATATATATATATATATATATATATATATATATATATATATTACGTATGTTTTATATATATGTATAAATATATATACATATTAATTAGTACTTAGTTGTTGGCATATAATCAAACAAGTTGTGATCATGTGGAATGGGATGAAGCTATGGAAAGATTCAATACTTGAATGAGATATGCATGGGACGTGTGTGTACATATGTAAGGGTGAGACATGATACTATTATTGTGGGAAGTGTAAATGAGTGTTTTAATTATGAGTGAATGGGAGTATATTAAGGAAATGTTTTATGGAGTGTGTGGGTTACATGCTGCGAAATTCAAGGTGGAAAATACTATAAACCGTAATTATAGTATTGGAAGGAAAATGAAGTTTCCAAAACAGGAAAAAAAGCAATACGAATTTGGAATGTGCTACAAAAGATTATTTGGAAGGCGCTGCCAGGAAACTTCAAAATAGGGAAAGATTGGTGTATTATCTAGAGAAGTCAGCTCCACTTTATATTAGTACAAGCTGTGTTAAAATTCAGGTTGGTTACAGTTTGTTTAATTGGTAGAATTAGTTCAAACTGTATGGTATACTTTTTCATAGAGTTGTTTTACGAGGTTAATGTTTAAATAGGTGGTAGACCTAGTTTTGTAATTCATTGAACCTGTTATTGTAAAAACTGCGGGTTGATCTTGAGTGAAAAAGTTTTGGGCGTGGACCCGCAGATTAGCAGGTGTTCTCTAACTGCGTTAAAAAAATTCAGTTGTGTACTTATTTTGGCGCTTCATTTATTTTTACATATTGTGATACATATCTGCATTATATATTTTCAATTGGTATCAGAGTCGTCGCTTAATTTGCTAGCGAGATCCTAGGGATACTCGAGTATTGTTTTGCATAATGGAAGAGGGTGCCTCAATTACAAGACCACCATTGTTGAAAGGAGTAAGCAACTATGCCTATTGGAAGGCTAGGATGAAAGCCTTTATCAAATCCTTGGATGAAGAATGTTGGGATGCCGTAGAAAATGCTTGGACTCCACCTACGATGATGGTCCACAACGAAGAGAAGAAAAAACCACTAAACCAGTGGACATCTGGCGCTTCATTTATTTTTACATATTGTGATACATATCTGCATTATATATTTTCAGCTTGGTTAGTCTTGTAAGAGTCCATTAAGCGTGGCAATAGCTGCCGATGTTGATGGACTGCCTACTCTGCTGAAGTTGGCACACATTATGGCTGCAAAGAAGCAAGAGTGGCAATCTATGAAGCAACTACCAGTGCCAGTAGAATTAGGAAAGGAATTCCAGTTTCATTCGGTTTTCGTCTGTCCAATGAGCAGGGATCAGGTGAATGAAGAGAATCCTCCCATGTCGTTGCCTTGTGGACATGTCCTGTGTAAGCAGTCTATTCATAAATTGTCAAACAACAGCACACAGGCCTTCAAGTTCCCCTACTCCCCCTTTGATGCTATAGTTTCACAGTGCAAGCAACTCTATTTTTTATGTTTGTAAAACCATTTCTCTTTACACAGATTTGTTTGATGAAATCTTCACTGCTTTAGCATTTTTACTTGAAATAGAAAGTGTGTTGATGTGTACAGAGGTTTTCTTTAATTTACAATGTCATGTTTGGTTTCTCATATGAGCTTTTCGATCTCTGTTAAATCCATGAATTGAGACTATAAAATGACATTTTAATTTCGTAGTTATACGTTAAAGTGATGTTTTTAGTCCTGCTTACGAGTTTTTGCCTTTTACTATTTTGAAATTCTGAATATGTATCCTAGGTGAAGTTGATTCTCGAATATGCAATCAGGGTGAAGTTGCATGACTTAGGTGTGTGCAAGCCCAAAAAAAATGTTATATAACACTGTCATTCCTAGACCGCATTACAATAACTCGCACACACTATTACACATAGACGCACACACCACCCTACGTTACCACTCCGGTGCAGAAAAAAATCAAGGAATAGTACACTTATAATCTTTTCTTTAAAATCAAAACGTAAAAAAAAAAAAAAAAAAAAAATCACGCACACACCTAATATTAATGATTTTTTTATAAAAAAATATATATATATATCAAAGCCCCCATCCCGAACCTTTGCCCACGCCAAAGCACAAAATCGCACAGACCACCGTAAGTTACAGCTCCAGTGAACCAAAAAAAAAATTAAACAGCACATAGTACTCTTACAATCTTCTTCTTTAAAAACAAACTAACAACATGAATTCACGCACATACATAATAAATATTTACGTTAAAAAACAAAAAAAACAAAAAAACAAACCTCATCCACAGAATTTGCACACGCCAGCTCACATACACGCACACACCAACGTAAAATGATTTTTTACATTGCTTCTGCATTCTTAAATTAAGTTTTAGTATATCCAATAATGTGGATCATTCATGGTCACACTTAGTAATAATTACTTTTACCCAAAATCCAAATTCAACGAATAAAAACAAAATTATAATAACACTGTCATGCCAAGACCGCTTTTAAATAACTCGCACCTGCTGTTGCACATATACGCACACACCACCGTACATTACCACTTCGGTGCACAAAACAACCAATGAATAGTACACTTACAATTGTTTTCTTAATAACAAAACATAAATAAAAAATCATGCACACACATATTATTAATGTTCGTATTTTTTTTTAAAATCGCAATGCCTCCATCCCTAAGCTTTACACACGATGCAGTACATATTTGCACACACCACCGGAATTTCAACTCCGGTGTCCAAATAAAAATAAAAATAAAAACAACACGTACTACTCTTACAATCTTCTTCTATAAAAACAAACCATGTGACACCCCGTAAATCCAAACTGTAGCTAAAGATTAATTAGAGAATTAATCCTAGTCTTTGTGTTAATTTATTCCTAAAAATCCTGAAAATTCAATAGTCGAAGGACTAGAATTTGACTAGTCAACCAAAGTCAAAGAGTTGTACCTTATGCTTAGTGGTTTGTTCCCTTGTTCCCTTATTCTTCTAACTTTAGTAAGAGCAAAGGTGTCTTTTTACCTAAAGTTTGTGCTTCAAGCTAACCTAGCAACAATTCTTCATTTCATCCACCAACACTCTAAAACACAAAACCTCTACCTTCTCTCTAAGATTTTGGTAGCTTCTTGTCCAAGCCAAAATTTGGGCCTCTTAGATCCTACAAGTTGGCTTCCAAGATTCATACTTTCCTAATCTTGAGTATAGGGGAGTGTATGATCCTTGATCTCTTGGTGTTTTTAGCATCCTTTTATATGTCTTTTTCTAAAAATCGAATCTTTGTTGTCTTTTGGTATGTTTATGAAGTTGGTGTTGAAGAAGAGCTTTAGGAGAAGCTTTTAAGGGTGAGAAAGTGAAGTGTTAGGCTACAAAGGTAACCCATGCTTTACAAAACCTATTTTCTTACTTATATGATGATTTCTTGGCTTCTACATGTGATTCTTGTGATGAAATGTGAGATTTGATGCATTGTCTTGTGGTAATGCATGTTTAGAGCTTGTTATTAGGGTTCTTGTATGTCATTGCTTGGCTATTTCTTGGGTGTCATATTGTTGTATTGTGTGAGAGTTTGGGTGTTTTGGACTTGAATTTGGACTTGTTGTTGAAAATCCCCAAAGGGATTATTTTGGGTTCAGGTCGGTACCCGCAGGCGGAATGGCGGGCAGGGAACCACCCGCCGCCCCACCCGCGGGGTACATGTGTGTGGGCATTGGTACCCGCGGGCAGAACCACATGCGGAGGTCCACCCATGGCCCCACCCACGGGGAACACGTTTGAAGGTGTGCGGGGATTTGTTCCCCGTGATCCTTTTGACTCGGTATTGATGTTTTGACGTCTCGATGTTATTTATTGGGCTATTTGAGTGTCTTCTTGATGTTTCGTATGTCTAGAATGGTATGATCGAAATCCATGTAGGATTTGGTGTCTTTAATCGTGCTAAGTGTCCAACTTTGTGATTCGTTGGACCATGGTGAGTCTTGTATGTTCTATGAAACTACTTTTGGTTTACCCGTTTGATAAGCATGCTAGTTTGATGTTGAAATACTAGTGTGTGTGGTTTGTTTTCCTATTGAGATTGACAACTTGTGTTGACCATCGTTTCGTATCGGATGGTAATCCTTTCTTGTTGAGTATGGTTTCATATCTTTGTTGTGATCCATAGATTGATTCCTGTGATATGAAAACGTATGTAATCGTTGTACCTTGACTGCACGATTAAGGTTATGGGGCTTTAATCTTCAAGGTACTGATGCGGTCCTCGTGTGGCCATGATTCAAGTTGGTGGTGTGACCTGAGCGTAGGCTCATATGTAGGTGGTTGTGTGAATGAAATGAATAGTACCCTCGTGTACTCATATGTAGGTGGTTTTGTTGGAGGTTGTAGGTGGGGGGACGACGGTCCCCGGAGGCATAAGGTTGGACTCAGAAGTACAGAGGTTACTCGGAGGTAATGGTTGGAACTGAAATAAGGCCGGGGGTAGCCACAAGGTTGGAACATGGCATAAGGTTGGAAGTTGGAAGTTGGAACTTGGAACTGTGTTCTTGTGACATGTAGTTGTCACGGTGGCATGTAGTTGCCAATATGTGAATGTCTAATCTTTGCTAATGAGCATGTCTTGATGTATTCTACTTTGTGATCAGTAGAATACATCTCGAGTTGTATTGTATATTGTTGTTATTCTTGTCTTGTTGATTGTCGTGGGATGTTGATTTCCCTCTTTCCTTTGAGAGTGAAAATGAGTCTTTGAAGTTGACTTTTCTCTATGGCTTTTGAAATGATATATACTGTATTCCGTTTCAAAAATGGTTTTGACTTATACTATCTATATATGCTATTTAACGCGTATTGATGGGTTACCAGCAATGTTCGCTGACCGGGTGTCATCCCCTATCTTTATGATGCTTTACAGGTTATGAGTAGCACTTGGAGAGCGCGCTAGCAGTTAGTTAGTTAGTGTACCTCCCTATGACTATTTCTGTTAGACTTTTGGCTGTGAGCCATGGATTTGTATAAGCTTGACTTGGATGTGTTGTTTAGACTTAGCCTGTGCACCTATAGATGTATACGTGTGGCATAACATCTCCCATACTTATTTAAGTAGCTTCCGCTTCGTCTTATCTTAATGTGTAGCCTTTATCCTTTTCTTAATCTTTAATTGGTTTTTAAAAGTTGTGAAAATCGGGGGTGTTACAGTTGGTATCAGAGCCTAGGATGTTAGAGTTTGGACTTTTAAGAAGTTAAGTGTGGTTTGAGACCCTAAGATGACCTTAAGTATCTAAGTGTTTAGGACTTAGGACTTCTAGGACGTGTGGTTAGCTGTGTGTTGTTTACCGTTTATTCTGTTTGCTTTGTTGTTTCTGCTTAGCTTTAGCGTTCTTGAAGCCTCCATCAACTAACGCAGATCACCCAGACGCTGAGCAACGCCTTCCTCAACAACAACCACCCTCTTCAAAATGGGAATCGTGACATA